CCCCCTTCCCTCCTCCTATCTTTCTTTGCTTTTTGGTGTTTTCCTGAATGCAATACTCAGGATCACCCCTTTCTTTCTGTGGTGTGTCCCTGGACGACTGTTCGTAGCTGGGAGCACCTGCCTTTTCCTTTTCTCTCCTCTCCCTTTCTCTCCCTCTCTCTTTCTTTCCTTCTCTCTTTCCTCTCTTCACCCTCTTCCTTGGGTGTCCCTGGATGCTTCGTCATAGCTGGGAGCCCTTCCATTTTTGGTGTGTCCTTGGACGCTTGTGTCATAGCTGGGAACACCTGCTTCCTTCTCTCCCTCTTTCTCTTTTCCTCCCCTCCCCCCTCTTTCCTCGCGCGCGGCGTGTTTACAAGCAAACTAGGCTTCTGCAACAGGTTTTTCTAATGAGGTTTGGGCTGTCATCGGTTTGTCCCCGTTCATTTGGTGTCCCTTTCATCGGCCCCCACCGACATCTTCTTTTTCCTTCTTTTCTTTCATGTCTTTCTGTCTTCATGTCTCTTCATCCTCATCCTTTCTTTCTCTTGCGCGTACTTTCGTCCGGACCTTAGTTTCGTACAACGAGGTTCAGGTGGCCCAGGTTCGTTACAATGAGGTTTGGCTCATCGGTTGTCCCTCTTCACTTGGTTCCTTTTCATCGGCAACCACGCACACCTTTGTCTGTCTCGTCCTTTTCATTTTCATCTGTCCCTTTTGCGTGCACATGTGCCCGCCTCCTTTCCGGGCAGGATGGAGGCCACACATGCCTCCCTTCGGGGAGGCGTGTGTGTGTAACCCTTGGAATCAAAGGGAACCTTAAGGTTTGGAACAGGGGGACGGGACACCTCTGGCATTTCCAGTCCAACGAAGAGGATGCCAGCAGGTGCTGATACAGTGGGGGACGCCCCACTGTGTACCTGTTCCACTACTTAGGAGAACAGGAGGAAATGGTACTCGACACACTTGTGTGTCGGTGCCTTTCCTCTAGACTACCCTATAGGTTGCAGGTAGGCCTCCAAACTTTGTAAGGGGTTCCACCCACTAGAATGGACCCCCAACTTTTGCTGCTTTGCTGTCTTGTTTGTCTTGTGCTTCCTGTCACCTACTAGCGATGGCCCCCAACCTGCCTTCGACGGCCTCCAACCTAAGAGCGAAGACCTCCAACTTTGACCGCTTTGCTGTCTTGTGGTTTCGTGTCTCCAACCTACTAGCGATGGCCCCTCAACCTGCCTTCGACGGCCTCCAACCTAAGAGCCAAGACCTCCAACCTTGACTGCTTTGCTGTCTTGTGGTTTCTTGTCACCAACCTCCTAGCGATGGCCTCTCAACCTGCCTTCGATGGCCGCCTCTAACCTAAGAGCGATGACCTCCAACTTTTGCACCTTGTTTTACTCAGGTTTTTTAACCTAGGTTGGCGTGTGGCACCGCTTTCAGTTCAGTACACCCTATCCTAAGTGTGTGTGTTATCTTGCGTGCTGATGTGCCAGTTCCCTCTGACTTTCACTCACACCCATTCTCACATTTCCCCATGCAGCTTGCTGCGCCATCTTGGAGAGCTTGCATTGAACGGTGAATTCGAAGTTGCTTCTTCAGACCCTTCGATTCACTTTGTGAGGGTCTTTTCAATATCGTTCTGGCTATCTTTCTAGACATTCCATTTGCTGAGCTTTTATAGATCAAACACAGGTCAAAAAGTGTAGAAGCCAGCAACCACATGCTTGCGACCTCTATGAACCCCTCTCTCTCTCTGTCTCGCTTCATCTCTTTCTGTCTCTGTGTCTCTCGGGGCTGACCTATGATAACTTATGCGCCTGTCCACAAAACAGCTATGCAGTTTGAAACCTCGAGTCTGGCCGAACATGGCCTAACCTACCTGCTTCCCTCCTACTGGTTGCCCTCACCTTCCAAACATCTGTAAATTATGCATCATGTTGATCCTTTTCTGCCAATGTTGACCTGGCAAGCATCTGCGGTCCAAGGATCATCAAGGATCAACCCCCCCAAGCTTTAGCTTCTGCCTTTCCACCATTCTCTCGATGATCTGGTAGCGGTTGGCCGCCCCCCAACAGCGTGGCACCAGGCTCTGAGACCGGAAGCCAAGGTGCCATCGCATCACCTGGTACCCATCTTCGAAAGGACGGAGAGAAGCGATAGAGTTGGATAAAGGCAAATGAACACAAGGATCCAAACCATTGGTTTCGCTGTCAGTTCTGCAATCCAAACCATTGTTCCAAGTGAACCTGATTGAATCTGGTGCGACGGACGTGCCGTGCCCGTCCTTGCACTCCACCTCCATGGCACTCCTGCCATGTGAGGTTCACATCTTCTAGACTCCCGTTCGTGTGCAAGTCCAAAAGCGGTCGGTGCATCTTCGATGGAGCAAAAGATTACATAAATCCACTGGCCAAAGGCAAATACCTGCATTTCCTGTACAGTCTCCGTCTGGTACAAGGGTTTGACCTACAACAACAACAACAACAACATTGGTACTCATGAGACTGGGATAAAGAGCTTCTCGAACTCTTGACATTAGGCCGTCAGCCTCGTCGAAGGCGCGGCCCATGCGCATGACACAGTCGCAGTTCTGCGACAAGTCTCGGTAGACGAAGTCAAAGCCCTGCGGAGCAAAGGCTTTGCAAAGGCACAGTTGTCGGAATGGCACCACTGATCAACTCACACCGATCCGGCACATATCAAACATCGACTGCCTGGCAATCCGGCAGGCTGTTGCACATCTTGAGACATGCTATGGGCGAAGTCCTCCAACACCCCAGCGGGTCTGCTGCTGGTGGATTGTTCATGTTCTGTTAGATTGCCGTACATGGCCTATGCAGAGTTTCGGACTTGCTGGCGAATTGCAATCAACATCTCGTTCCCATGGAAACTACAGTCCCGCTGCCAGGACCACCACGCCATTCAACGCCTGAGTTCTCATCAAGTCAGCTTGTAAGAAACTGAGCTCGGCCCGAGCTCGGCTCAGGATGACAAATAAGAATTGCTGTGGTCAACTCGGAAAACTCCCTCAACATGGTGAAATATCAGTGTCAAATAGTCATGCTTGCCTTGCTTGCAGCCTTCTCCAATCTTGAAGCTGTTGCACAAACTTGCTTGTGAAGGTGCGAGGCTCTCACCTTCCAAACCATCTGCATACCACAAATGAGGACCTGGAGACAAAAAGGTTTCCGCATCCTCACTCCAGCCCTCGCACTGAAAGCCACTCCCTGAAGCAGAGCGCCCAGCAACTGACATTGTCCAGAACGCTGTAAATATTCTGCCAACCCTCGGGATCCTCCTCCTGAAAAAGCTGGCTTGTGGATGGGTAGAAGAAAGTACAGTATATACAGAGATTGTAGAGGCAAGGCTCCAAATCTTAATCCATCTCAAACTCTCAAGGTAATCTCACTCTGAAAGCCCTTTCATTGAGACGCGAACATTCTCTATTGAGCCTGCCTCGATGCCAAACTGGCCATCTGCAGAGCAGCCGTGTCTGGCAGTCAATAAACAAACCACTACGATCTAGACTTCCTTTCGTTCTTCCTTCTGCAGCTCTTCTGCTACCGGTACCTGCCGTGGAGCTCAGCAGTATCGAAGCAACGTACCCGCTCCAAAGGTGCGTAAAGGAGCACCTGGCCAAGAGGAAATAGGGATGGAAACCAGCTCAATAATCAAGAGAACTAACAGGCATCGGCATCGGTGCCAAATCCACTTGCTGTGCCATCTGTGCTGTGATTCCAGACTTCCTGGTGATAGAATCTAACAAGCACTTGTCAAGGAAGCCTCTTACCCATCGGAGATGCCTGGTACGCACGGATGAGATGATCACCCCAAAGAAACCTCACAAAGTGCCAGGTTGAAACAAGGGCCAAAACAAGGCCTCCCGGTCATGTTTCCTCGTAGCCAATGCGCGCAGCTCACATTTGAGATGTGCTTGAGTGTCAATTCCAATCCTTTATTTTCGGGTGCAACCCCTGATTTGTGCTTGGGCTGCTGAGGCCATTCGCCTGTAATGCCCCAAAGCGCCCTCCACCTTCCACCAAATTGGCACCAAATCACAAACGTCCCAGACAGTGTTTGACCAACGTGGCGGCCAGACCCGCTTGCTGAAATGCATCAGAACTGGGGAGGTGAAGAAGTCCAAATCTAAGACCTCCAAGTCTCCAATTCCAATGAGTTCCAATGCATCACAATTCTTGGGCTGAGAGATTCAGATCTGGCTTGTTGAGATCCACTAGCCCACACATTGAATGCATCAAAGTTAATCACTTCACCGTCACATGACAGGTGACCGGGGACCCTGGTTGACTCCCAACAAGACTTGCGCACAAATCCTCGGGTCACCTAACAGCCCTTCAGTAGCTTACTGGGTACTGGGATGTCGGCGTCGGTGAAATACTATCTAAAATCTAAGGGCATATCATGGATCCTGCTGCAAATATGGTACCTTAGGCGAAATTACATCAAACAGCCAAGAAACAAACCCTAAACACCAACACGCAACAAGAAGAAAACACTGACCAAAAAATACCAAGCGATACTTGCACAACTGTCTGAACACGCCACCGCCGCTGAACCCTTCGCACATTGAGAGGGTGTTGGGGTTTATTGGCATGTATCTTAGTCACAGTTGGCAAAATGTGCCCCAATCTTGCATGGTGTCATGGTGTGCGCAACATTATCCGTCTGAGATGGGCCTGGTTCCGTCACCTTGTGCCTGGGGTCAATCTACCAAAATCACCATAGTTTATATAGTGGTTCCTTGCTTGCGATGCTAGGTTTTGACCAACAGCCAGATCGCAGGGGGGGGCTTTGACCCGTGCCGACATTACGTTCAGACGTTCAGCACTACACCAGAATGCCAGTGTATCATTCTTAGCTGTAGCCCTGCCTCCCAGGCCGTTCCCCATGTCAGCGATAGAGAGCCCAAGGGCACTTCAATCATCCTCTCAGATTTGTTGTATGGATCCTGGACCGGAAGAACTGCTGCCTTTCAAGTTCACCTTGAGGCTGCCCGAGGCTCACACAACCTGGGTGATCGTCTTGCCAGCCGTGGAAAGCGCAGCGACGGGATTGGGAAGCCTCGATAATTCACAAGTGTTCCGCGGATGCGGAGGATGCGGAAGCGAGTAGAAGATACCCTTCAGGGTTCACAAGCTCCGGATGCCTGCCCGAGCTTCTGGTTGTATAATGAATCAGAGCAACTTCCCATGTTTCAGAATCAACCACAACAACAAGACCCGAAAGAGAAGGTTGTCTGGAAGGTGGGTGAGATGCTGATACACGGTTGTCAGCTCTCCTGTGGCATGGAACCCAACCCAACATGTCTTTTCCTCGTCTGCGCGGATCACGCTCCGAGGCCACGACTCGATATCATTCAGAAGGACCCACCTGGGATACATGTCCCACTGACAATTCATCAAACAGGAACGAGACCTGGGAACTCAGCCACCGACTCCTTGAGGAAGTTGGACCACCTCGCTGCAAGTCTTCAAGGTCCCCAAACATGCATCCGGTACAATGTCAAAAAGAGACGCGGTCATGACCGAACAAATTGTAACTTTGTATACATATATCTGGCTGCTGTATCTTGGAAAAGTGGAAAAGTGGAAGAGGCGGCTCTTCCGCCCAGCCACCCTTTGGTACAACCAGGGTCTTCCAGGCCAACCTCAAACAGCCTCAGGCGCTGAAACTCGCTAACTTGACATTGAGGTTCAATCTCCAGCAATAAGGCCAAGAGCAGGGCCCATAGACATAATCCTTTCGTGCCATCTCCTCAAGCAGCGACCATGTATGTTCCGATGGTACTACTGCAGAAATCTTGCTCGCATGCCGTATACCGTATAACCACTAATTACTCCTGGAAGGGATCCAGCTGATCTGATCCTGCCAAGCGCATAAGAGGTGTGTCTTTTCCGACCAATCCCAGCACACATGGGACACCCACCCTCTGCCGGTTTGGAAACCTAAAGCAGTAAGAGCAATGCCTATCCTCTCTACAAACTCTATCTGCCCTGATCTATCTGAAATAAATTTGGATTGCAAAATTGCAGCAATTGCAGTGTCACTCCAAGGCACAACGAACCTCTCACACCACACTAACTGATCTGGTGCATGTACATACTGACATATAGCATCAAAGCTACACAAGCATGGCATGTCATGTAGAGTTAGGGAGAGAGAGAGAGAGAGTAGTATTTGGATGTGCACATACTTACGTTTGGAGCTTCCTGATCTTCCCGTGCCTTCACACCGAAAAGTTGCATCTGAGTCCAGGTGCAACAAGTATCGCCTTGCACTCTGTGTGGGACGACGCTTATGAATCCATTGGTTCTGGAATCTCTCGCATCGAGACAAAAAGGGCATTGTGAGTGATTCCAGGCCAATGTCTGGACCCTGTTCGTCAATATAGCTCCTGTGGCCCATCAACTTGACTTGTCGGCTTGTGAAAACATGAAAATATGAGAACAGTTCAATCATTCCTGAAGGGTCAAATCTTCAACACAAGACAAAACCCTATTTGACAAAGGTGTCCATCGCAACCGCTCGGATTTGGGCTCACACGTGTGCTGAAAAACTGGAAGCGTCAACACGGTCGAGCTCTGAAAGCGGCACATGTGTCAGTAGCCAGCCTGAGGTATTTTGCTCAGTCACACGGCTTTCTAAATTCAATGTGCTGCATTATCAACTACAATGTATCAAACAACAAAACCGTGGTTCGTTGCAACCATTTCGCAATTCCTCAAGCTACTGACCATTCACCTACCTCTTGCCCTATTACTTAAGCCACTTAGGTCCTTCCCGCCTGAAAGCGTCTTGGTTTGGCCTTGCGGATCTCTGGGGAGTTGGTCAAGGTGGCGTCAAACCAGAGCCTCGAATGACGCTCCCAAAGGAGCTTTGGAGCCTGCAAGCCTTGCCTACCTTACAGACCATTGCATCTAATGGCATCACCAGCATCTCCCTTCAAACCTTACATCTGGGTCTGTGCAAGATTTGCAAGTGTGAATTCAATGGCTCATGACACACTTTGCAATAGCTCATCTGCGACGGTTTGAGCTACTCGGAACTCAGCAAGTTGGCCAAAGGGACAACTCAAGGTCATGCAAGACTTTTATGAACTGATATTATACAGTGCGAAGCGAACTGAAAATGCCATTAGATAGAATCTTTAAAAAAGGATGATGAACTCCCGATTATTTGCAAATATGCGTTGAAATATGCTGTGCTTGGACGTACGCCACTCACTATTGACATATTGTTGCCCTTTCTGGAAGGCCTCTAGAACCACCTCCAATACCTCCAAAGCGAAGGAAAAGCCAGTCTATTAGAATTTATCCCAGACAGCGAAACTTTTGGGGTCTTTAGCCATAAATAGACTTCAGAGCAGATCGGAGCAAGCTTCAGAGCAGGCTCCGGAGGGTTCTGGAGGAGGTTCCGGAGCAGGTTGCGGAGGAGGTTCCGTAGCCGGTTCCGTTCCAGAGCAGGTTTCGGAGGAAGGGGGTTCGGAGGAAGGTTCTGGGGGAAGGAACTGGAGAAAGGTCCGGGGGAACGAGATGATGCTTCTTGTTACTACTAGTAAGGCACCTGTTACTACTAGCGTGGCACCTGTTACTAGTAGCTTCTTGTACCAATATACTTGACCAAATGACATTCCGCAGCACTGCAGCAATGAGTGTGGTGATGTTGGTTGGTTTCCTGGAAATCTTTCGAGGCGAGCCCGCTGTGAAAAGGTAGGCTATGCATCAGCATGAAGCTAAATGGTTTGTGACATATTATTTTAAGAACACACAACATGTTTCTAGCTGTTGGGGATTTTCTTTGGGCTTATTGACTGGAAAATCTAGCCTGACATCCCCTGAGCTCATCACAGATCATCTTGGTCGATCTTCACCTCGCAGGAAATCAAGGGCAAGTTTGATGGAGCGGGTATGTTTCTTTTTGTCTTTGAGCCACTGATTGCATAATGCTACCAGCCACAAAAGCCCTGGCCTCACCACAACACCAGATTCACCACCCTCCTAGACCCACCTTTTAGAGATGTTTACTGTTTACTGCCGATGCCCAAAAGATCCAAAAATAGTACTATCTCTCTTTCTCTCTATCTATCTATCTATCTATCTATCTATCTATCTCTCTCTCTCTCTCTCTCCTCTTCAGGAGACAGCATATGCATCAAATGAGAGAATCAATCACCTTGTCATTGCCCTGTTGCCCTTTCTCCTGCCTTGGAGTCACCCACTTCAACTCGCTGGAAGTCCTCGGATACGTCCAGGAATCGCAGGTCCATTCCTAGAGCATCCAAACAATGGCCTCTCTGAATATGATGAGTGCTATGACAATGTGTCCTCGTAATATCGATGTTTGCAATGTTTACAAACAGGACAGGTGAGCTCTCATGATCTCATGTGTCAAATCTCTGAACCTGTTTGTCTCTGCAACAACAAAACTCTTGAGTCTTAACTTAAGATCCAAAAAAATATATATATTAGGAGCCAAATGAGAATGCAAGGGCTTCTTCAAGACAGACTGAGCTTTCCTGCGTCCCAGCCTAAGAAGCTACTTCAGCTAAGTTATTACCCCTGACTTGTTAGCTTGCTTGTAAGCCTACCTCCCTTTACCGTCTGCCCCCGCTTTGTTAAAGGAAAATGAGCTGAGTCAATAGCCATCCTGCGCAAAGCGCAGTCCATCCATCCAACTCAAGAGCTGTTCCTCTTCAGCGCCTTCCATCTGCCTGTGCTGGACCAGTTAAAATTGCTACTTGTGTCTGGCTTTCGCTACAAACTCAGAAGCCTCCAAATGTTGCATCAAAGTAAGTAAGACCCTCTGGGTAAGCAGGTTTCTTAGAAATCTCATTGCTTCACCCACACGCATTAGAGGCTGAAAGCTGAGGCATCTACGCCGTGTGAAGGATGTAGATCGGATAGTTGTGCCTCAAGGATTTTGCCGAGTACTATGACCGGGCCAACGTTGCAAGTTGGAAGCCAAGATTTTAAAGCTGATATACAGTACAGCATTGCTGACCTGTGGCAAATCACTCTCAAACTGCGACAGCACATGCATGTCAAGATCGACAAACAGCGCTCACCTTTTGACGCCCTTGAACGCCCAGGGCAACAGCATGGACCCTCTTCATTGAAGGTCCGACCCACAAACTAAAACCTCCAACACACACAACCACAACAACAACCACAGACATGTGCAGCAATTATTAATCTAGGAATTCGGAACATCAAGCTGATGCCGTCTTGAATATTGTAGTTGTTGTGAAGCGTGATCGACACACGGGCAACTCACATTCTTTCAACGAGTCAACCTCACCTTTAGTAGCCCAGGCATTAGATAACAGCCATGAGAAGTACCAGTACACAGAGGTGACAAGTTGAGACTGTCCAAGGCATGGTGCTAGAAGCTATGGGTGTCCAAAATGGCGGCAGCAGCAGCCGACACAAACTTATCTAAAGAGAGACTTGGACCCATTCAGACAGAGTCTGAGGTCCCGCATCTCACACTAAGGCCATTTACACCCTATAAACAATTGCTTTGAAATTGCAGCTTCTGCGGTGTCGGAGGAGGAGCCGGCGCTTTGAACGCAAAGGGAGACACCAGGGAAGTGGCCGGACTGCTTGCAGGCGGCCTTGGCTTGTGCCAGCATATACAGATCCACCAGCAACAATTGCTCTCCTTACAAAACAGCACTTTCTCATTTGTTCTTTTTGGTAATATGCCCAATGAATCTTCCGATGAGTGCTGGGTACCCGCATCAACCCAAGCGCCTAAGTGCCAGGCCGGAGCAAACCTCCTTCCCCGTACTGGGCTTCGCTCTTCTTTGGAGTGGAGAAGCCAGCAAGGCGGCTTGCAAGGCCCTGGTAAAGTTGTAGGATCTGCATGATGCAAACAAAGCGCTCTCGTTCCTCCTGATCAGAAACAACTGAGAACCGTAAAGGGATGCTTCCAAGCAGCAGTTCTTTTAGATTCCAACCTTAATCAGACTCATGCTTGATATTTTAGATTCCCTGCACAGTGGATGCGTCTAGCTTTTCACCATGACCCGTCATATTTCATGCGCTGCTTCACAGCAGTGTTTTTTCGGGCACAAAGGTGTTGACACTTGACACCCAGTTCTGCCGATACTGCCACAATACCCATGTGGCACGAAGCATAGACAGTTTTAAACATTCGTAGATACTGCACCACCCAAAAATTGTTGTTTGATTGCATAGACCAAAAACCTGCAAGCTCTGCCGGTTTTGCCCATCTGCCCTCTCCTCACTACCAACCACGAGAATCCAACGTCCAGCTTCCCCAGCAAGGATGATGGATCGCATGAGATCACAGGCCTCCCCGCACTTCGCGGACTGCGTGGCATCCTCGTGGGCGCTGCGCACCAAAAGGTCACGGATGTTCCAGGATACCAAGAATGCCTTCTCAGGAGCAGCGCTCCGCAGTTCCTGAGGAAGGGGTGTCACGAGGTTTTATTCAATCAATTCAACGTCCCAACAGGATCAAACAGGCGAAAAAACTACCTGTTTCAACACAACCATTGGAAGCTGGAGCCCTCAACCAACGGTATGGCAAACCAGGAGGATGAAGTGGGAGAGCTTGGTTGTATTTGGTCCTTGTGAAGCAATGCGCCAAGCGGGCCTGGTCACTTCATGTCTGAATCCACTATTTCATGAGCATCTCAGCTCATCAACACACAACCTGGATACATGCGCTGAGAATCTGCCACTTGAGCAAATCGCTGTTACACCAAAATTTGCTAAGCTCCAAGAAGCCAGCTTTGATGCCCTGTCCAAGAGCCGATACTCAGCATCTTGAAACCCTTCTGCTCCGCCAGCGCGGCAAAGCTGGCCTGTCTGCTTGATGACTTTGGTTGTGACGCGATGGCATCAGTTTGTCTGTATTCAAACCAGGTGGGACAAACATGTTTGGGATGCTTTGGATTGGTTGGGAAGGCTGCGAAAAATAGATAAATATCTAAATCAATAAATGAAAAAAAACTCATGCGTTCTGCTGGAGACCTTATTTCGCTTGCTGCTCAGCGCAGCCATCGGAAAACCTTGGACCAAAATAGATCCGTGGAGCAAAGGCAGAGGAGCAGTACATGGCATCTATAAGGAAAAACTACTAGTAACAAGAAGCTACTAGGTTGGAGGCCATTGCTACTAGGGTGGAGGTCATCGCTAGTAGGTTGGAGGCCATCACTAGTAGCAAGAAGCTACTAGAAACATGGCATCTATCGCAAGATTAGCATTGCCCCTCCCAACAAAACCCTGTGCACATCAGCCACCTGCCTTCACTGGATGCATGGCGCACCTTGGACAAAGGCATGTCCCAGTCCCGGCCGGTCCTTTTCTGATAGTGGAGGAGCTCGTAAACCAAGTGGTGGATGGAGCACGGTCCGAAACACTTTCGAGTCTGACGCAAACAGGCAATCAACAATCCCTGTCTCGCATGCGCCTCCCTCCAAACCCATCCACCCTAGACCCGAGCTAAACATTGAAACTAATAGCTTCTTGTTACTACTAGTAAGGCACTTGTTACTACTAGCGAGGCACTTGTTTCTAATAGCTTCTTGTTACTACTTATGCCCTGGCTTCGCTTGAACTGTTCCGTGAAAGGTCGGAAACATCGCCGAGAATCGAAGTTGCAAACAAGCTCCTGCAAGCGCTCTCGCTGAGAGTCGGGTCTCTGGATCTCCTTGGATTCCAAATCATAACGTGACAGAGGTGTAGCTTTAAACTTTACATGCTTCCGACATACTGCACACTGCGCCTCTATAACTACCTTCTCTGCGCCTCGGAGATTCTTTGACTCCCTTCTTTGACCGATTCTACGCGCCATAGGTATGCACAAAGCTACCCCTGCTGGTGGCGCCCCGGAATCACCACGCAGCGCTGGAGAGCAGCAACAGCTCAAGCAAGCCATGGCTTCATGGTCTCACACCCTCTGCCCGCCCAGTTGCAGGGAACTAGTGCACTTATGAGTTTTGTACGATCTTCACATCCTCACAAAAATCGAAGAAAACAAACTGGGGCTGGCTATCGAGGCTGATATTGTAGGTTGTCGTTGGAAAGAAACCTGTTGGAAGTTCCAAGTCACGACTGACACCAGGGTCTTGCTTGATGAAAATCCCACCTGTTTTATCTGCTGCACTTCTTCGGTGTGGTTGCATTGACCCTCGAGTGTCAGCGTGGCCTTCAAAACCCAGCCACGCCACAGAAGAAGAGTCAAAGGCACTTTTGACTGGGTGGATCGACTTTCTGGGAAGTTCCTTCTCAACAACAGAAAACTTGCCTGCTTGCTCTGTGCACAGAAGTTCACAGAAATATGGGCTCACGAGTCACGAGTATTCTTCTTGAGAAACCCGAATCGCCAACTCAATCTATCAAACTGTTGGAATGGCGCTAGCGGACCCTACTAGGAGCAAGAAGCTACTAGGTGGAGGCCATCGCTATTAGGTTGGAGGCCATTACGACTAGTAGCAAGAAGCTATATAGTAGGAACGTCGTCCAATTCGACAATGGAGAGAGAGACTATGACTCTTGAGCGACTCTTCCAGAATTCTTGGAGAGTTTTAATCGCTCGGACTGTGTCCGGGCTTCCCTGTAGCACTGAGGGAGTGGCGCCCATGGACAAGTAGCAAGACTGCGGAGGTTCTTCACAAGGTTATCTTCATTGTGGCACTTTGCCTGGGGCGCTGTAACTGTGAACACTCACTCAAAAGAAAAATGCTCTGTGCTGGATAGAAGGTGTCAAAAGGCTCAAAAATGTCGAGACAGACTTCAATTGGATCTTTGCGCCTCTTCCACCACACGTGCCAGTATTTGCACAGCACCACCTCACCACAGAAGGTGCAGAACCCGACTGGTGCCTCTCAAAACGAGCTTTCCAGCCGCCCTGGCCTTCGCGTGCTACGGGTGAGGCATGATCTTCTATGAAGGAGAATGCCTCGTGAAGTGGACTGTGCGGGTGACACAAGCGCTCTACCGACGCGTTTGTGTAAACCTGGATAAAGCTGGGTAAACGCATGTAAACACTTTCTAATATACTGGCAGACAGTGAGAGCTGAGGCAACGTCCCAGGCCGGATGTCGAGCAGATTCGGCCATTGATAGGTCAACCTGCACAGTCTGGCGTTGGAAAAAAGCAGCTCAGTCCTAGACTTTCTTTGTTTCGCAACAGGATGCAACCTTTTCCCGAACTTCATGGGTGAAGCTGTACAGCTGTACACACGAAGGCATCACAACCCCATCAAAT